CTGATCATACCAAATTCTGACAAGGATGTGGAGCAAACAGAACTCTCATTTATTACTGGTTGGAATGTAAATTGGTACAAACACTTTGGAAAACTGTTTGGCAGTTTCTTACAAAGTTAAATGTACACTTACCATGTGACCCACTCATTCCCTTCATAGGTAATTATCGAAGAGAAATGAAAGCATACACTCATACAAAGACATATACATGAATTTTTGTAGCAGCTTTATTTTTAATAACCCCAAAATGGAAACAACCCAAATGTCCTTCAACAAGTGAATGGATAAAGAAATTATGGTATCATAAAATGGAATATTACTACTAAAAAGGAACAAACTATTGACACACATAACAACATGGATGAATCTCAAACTAATTATACTGAGTGAAAGAAGCCAGTCAAAGAAAGAGTACATCCTACATGACTCCACTTATATAAAATTCTAGAAATGCAAACTAATCTATAGTTATAGAAAGGAGATAAATGATTGCCTGTAGACACGTGGGGTTTCAGGGGAAAGAGTTCAGAGAGTGGCGAGAGGGAGGTCTTCCAGATAGTCACAAGGAGAGTTTTGAAGGTGACGGATATGTTCATTATCTTGATTGTGGTGAAAGTTTCATAGGCTTATACACAGATCAAAATTATTAAATTGTACATTTAAAAAATATTTAAATTTTTTTTTTGCTGAGGAAGATTCACCCTGAGCTAACATCTGTTGCCAACCTTCCTCTATTTTGTACCTGGGCTGCTGCCACAGCATGGCCACTGACAAGTGGTGTAGGTCTGTGCCCAGGAACGGAACCTGGGCCACCAAAGCAGAGCATGCTGAACTTAACCACTAGGCCACCAGGGCTGGGCCTAAATTGTACATTTTTAATATGTGAAGTTTATTGTGAGTCAATTAGGCTTCAATAAAGCTGTTTTTGGTTGTGGTGACTGTATTGGTCTGCTCAGGCTGCCATAACAAATACCATAAACTGGGTGGATTAAACAACAGAAATTTATTTTCTCAGAGTTCTGAAGACCGGAAGTCCAAGATCAAGGTGCTGGTTAGGTTGATGTCTGGTGAGAGCTCTTTTCTTGGGCTGCTGATGGCCTCTTTGTCCTCACATGGCCTTTCCTCTGAGTGTGCACAGAGAGAGAGAGAATCTCTTCATCTTCTTACAAGGCCACCAGTCCTGTCAGATTAGGGCTCCACTCTTATGACCTCACTGTATTACCTTTAGTACCTCCTAAAGACTCTGTCTCCAAATACAGTCACATTGGGGGTTAGGGCTTCAACATGTGAATTTTGAGGGGACACACTGCAGTCCATAGCAGTGACCTAGAGGGAAGGAGGCTTAAATCATGATGTGTTTTCTATGCTGCATAACACATTGCCACAAAATTAGTGCTGTAAAACAACACAATTATTATCTCACAATTTCCCTGGGCCAAGAGTCCAGGTATGGCCTAGCCAGATCCTCTGCTCAGACTCTCACAAGGCTGCAGTCAAGGTGTCATCCAGGGTTAGGATCTCACCTTAGTCTTGAAGTCCTCTTCTAAACTAATCCAGCTGTTAGCAAGTTCATTTCTTCACAGCTATAGAACTCAGGATGGGTTGCAGCTTCAATGCCAGCATGAGGGTCTCTTTATTCTTCTCTCTCTGACCTTTAGACTCTCCTTTAAAGGGCTTATCTGATTAGGTCAGGACCACAAAGGATAATCTCCCTTTTAATTAACTTAAATTCAAATGATTAGAGACCTTAATTACATCTGCAAAATCCCTTCATCTCTGTCCTAATCATAAGAGTGATATCCTATCACCTTTGCCATACTTTGTTGGTTAGAAGCAAATGACAGGTCTTCAAGAGTATGAGTCTTTGAGGGTCATCTTAGACTTCTGCCAAAACAAGTGATTTCAGATTTTGGCCTGGGGAACCATGGATGTAGTTACTATTTACTGATGAAGGATAATTCACATATCCAAATATGTGAGTATAAATAAATGTATCAGTTTTATTTATTGTTATGTTTGTTTAGTACCTGCCTTATTCTCAAGAGAGCTTGGGGTGGTCACTCCCACAATTGATGGATGGACACACAAAATATACAAAACATATACAGAAATAATCTTTCACAATACTATGCATACACACAAGCTCACTGACACAATAAATACTTGCAACGTTCACATAACCTGATTGGAAATGACAAGTACTGTCATACAGTACCAAACGACAGACACTGTCATATCTCCATGAACGGAGATACTTTACATGGACTGCTGGAGTGTCTTTTTTTTTTAAATTTCAGAATATATTTTGAATATTCCTTGTATGATTTAGTATACTTCTACTTTATCACATTTAAAGGCTACTGCTTGTTATTGTACTTTGTGGATGATTATAATTTATTTTACCCATAAAATCTGTTGAATATTTCTATTGACCACTAAACTGTGAAGGACCTTCTTTATGTAAGTCTTTGAACAATTACTATATTATCATATAACCCCAGAAGTGGGATTGAGTAAAGGACTTGCTCATTTAAAACTTTGCAACGGAGTAGCCTCCAGAATCTTTGATGAATTACACTGACAATAGAAATAAATGACAATGAACAATTTCTCAAACTCCTGTAAATCCTGGATAATATTTAAATTTTTTATGCCATTCTTCTTTTAAAATAGAATTTAATTTTTTTCTCATCATGACTTTTCACATTGTTCTTATTGTTCATTTGCCTTTTCCTTAAACCTGTGTTTACCGTCTTTACTATAGTGTTGATCCTTTTGTTGATTTGTAAAACCTGCTTATTAATTAAAATAAATAACTTGTCTCTCATATATGTAACAAATATGTTCCCCTTGTTCATTAGGTTTTAAACCTTGTTCATTTTTTCCCCCTGAGATTGAAGTGTTTAATATTTTTCTAATAAAACTTTTTGGTCATTAACTTTGTGGTTTGTCTTAATATCATGCTCTCCTAACCCAAGAATTTAATATGGAAAAAAACAGCACATGTTCTCTTTAAAGATTCTTGAATCCATGAGAAATGTATTTGTTGTAATACATGAGGTATGAAAAGATTTTTTTATTTCAGATGACTAAGTAGTAGTCCTAACATGATTTATCGAATTTTCCATTCTTTCCTCATTGCTTTAAACATTATTTTTATTATATAGTAATTCTTAGAAAACTATTCTTAAATACACTTATTCCTGGAATTAATCCTCTATGATGTTTAACTTCTGAAAATGCTGAGATTCAAAGGCAATGGAAGGGGTACTTTATTCAAGCGGTTGCAAGAAAGAGAACAATCAAAGAGAGTGTCTCTCCAAACATGGGGATGGAGAGAGGTTATACAGGGGAGAGAAAAGCTTTAGAATACTTTGTATAGGTTTGGTAGACTTTGGCCAAGTAGGTGTTGTGACCTTGGGGAAAGAAGTTGTTTTTCTTTGTAATTTAGCCTGTCTCAGTCTATTATGTCCTGTTCTCAGAAGCATTGACTCCAAGAAGGAATTGAGAGAAAGTGGGTCAATTCTGCTACCCAGAGGAAGGGGGTCAGTGTAAGTACAGAGCAGGAAATTTCACAGTTCTCCAACACAGAAGCAAGGCCAAATGATTTTAACTATTATAGTAATACCATATTGGTTACAATTTGGTAAGTGTTATTATATTTTTTTCAACCATTTTCTGGCCATTATCTAATTTTTCTTTCTTCCAGATGAAATTCTGTCATTTCGGAATTGTTCTGTTAGTTAAATAAAGCATATAAATGACAAAAAGAAAGAAACATATACTCAAAAGTTTGTTTAGATTCTCAAAGTTCTGTCAAAGGTATTTAAATTTTCCATGTACAAAACGTATGTCTATTTTTTCAAGTCTTTTTCAACATCAAAAGGCAAGTTTTATAAGCTTCTTCATATAAGTTGTCTCTTAAAATCTTAATTCTTTATTTGCTATTGTGAATGGAAGCTGTTTTCTAAATTATCATCAGTGGCACATAAGAAATATAAAAATATCTTTTTTATATTTAATAAAAAATATAAAAATATCCTTCAAGAAAAATATTCAAGATATATTATGTACTGAAAGGGTCATCATTAATTTTTACATCCACATGTTCTGATTCTGTGCACCTAGTGGTTAAACACAGTTATCTCCGGAAGCTTTTGTGAATATTCACTTTCTTTTTCTTTCCTTTTGTTTTTTTTTGTATACATATATTTTCTGGTTTATTTAAAAAATTTTGTATCGCATCCTTAATTTGGAAAAGTTAGTTTCCTTTTCTTTAATTTCGAGACAAACCCTGCTTGGTAGAGATGTTATTTTCTTACTCTATCACTGGATTCCTTTCTTAAACAGTTTAAAACAGTTTAATTAAATTCCCTGTTCTCAAGAACTGATAACTAACATATGCCTTCCCTTAGTTTTGGGTCTAAAAGACAGTGTTTTAAATACAACTCAGTTTTTTTTTTCTTTTACTTTTTCCTTCTTTTATCGAAGTTCCTATTTTCAATCATACAGAATAGATAAAAGTTGAGCACTCATACACCATTGTCTATACTGAACAAATTTCACATTCTGCCGTATTCTCTCATACATTTGCCGAAACATTTAAAAATAAATTGATATATTTCATTCCTTAATACTTCAGCATGTATCTCTAAAACTAAGTACATTCCTTAACAGCGCATCTATAGTCAAACTTCCATAATTGCCCGCAAATCTCTTGCAGATTTTTTTCCAAACTAGGATGCAGTAAAGGACCACAAATTATAATTAGTTCTTAGTATACGCAGAGCTTAACCTCTGGGGGTGGGATGGGGGAGAGGGCACTGAAAACGCCAGAACTACAGGTCGTCCAGAGCAACAGTCTCCCAACCCTTTAAATAAGATATATTTATTTCAATAGTTATTTTAAGACGTGGACGCGAAGGATTACGGGCAATGTAGTCTTGTGTTTTATTTACTTGCCCAGCGAACTTGAGCCGTGGCCGCTAAGTGTGCTGCGCATGCGCAACGCCGCCATTTTCTTGGTCTCCCTTCCTCGGCCTACAAATTTCGTGAAGCCCGAAATCCTTGTTATCAGATTTCCCAACGACTCTCAAGATCTTGCTTTCCCACCTTCCTGGAAGCAGAGGTTAGACCGTGGGCCGGGCGGGAGACGGCGGTGCCCCGCGGTGGAGAGGAGGTCCGCGGACCCCGCAGTGGGACCGGGAGGGCAGGCAGGGGAGTCTTGTTCCAAGGAGCAGTCGGTGGGAGTCAGGCCAGCTCTGATCCCACGGCGCTGTCTCTGCGCCAGCGCGAGGGGGCGCGTGCGCAGAGTGCCCGTGCGCGCAGCCCGCGTGGGGGCGGGGCGGGCTGTGCGGCCCGGAGCCCCACAGAGCCGGGCTTGGCTTCCAGCTCTGTCGTCACAAGTGCCCTGCGCATCGTCAAGGTTGTCTTTGTCCTCAATGGCTCTAGTCTCTAGGGGCCAGTATTCTAGGGCACAATAATTTCCAAGAAATGCAGATTTGGGGTCCTGGGTGAGGGTTCCAAATATGAATTTGTTCTCCAGTCTTAAATCCTAATTTCTAACGAACGGACCCGCTCCTGTGAGGTTAGAGAGCTGGAACTCCAGAAACAAATCTCTCCTGGAAGAGAACCCTTGGGACACGTCTGGCGACACGCCCAGTTGGATGAGCAGTGCGGGATAGGTTGTGGAGAGACCAAAGAAAGGACCCGGAGACTGGAGTGAACGAGTCATATAGGTTTATTGGGAGTTACTTCCAGGGAGGTCCAGTGGCGGCCAGCGAGACAGCAATGTGCACCCGCAGCCGGGGACGGAGGGGGTTTCTTATATAGGCGGGGAACAGAAAGGCTGTATACGCTTGCCAAGGGGCTGTCCCTGGTACGACCAGCGTTCCCAGTAGCTCACGTGGAGGGGCTCTGTGTCCCTTTAAGACGCGATGTTCTTCAAGTGAGATAAGGTATGATCTGGCCTGGCCAGGCTGTGGATTATTACAAATCCCAGCAGCTGGGCGTCCTGCCCAGGAGGGAGCCAGAAGGACACATGGTTGCAATGGGTTTGTGGGCTCTTGCTGAGCAGGCAAGGCCCAGGCCTTACTGGACATTTGATCTCTCTCCAGAGTTTCAGAATGGAGGCACAGTCCCAGAAAGGGGTAGATCTTAGAACTGCAGGGCACAGTAATTCTTTATCTTCCTGCTGAGTAAGGTGTCACCACAACCACCACATCAAAGACTGGGACAGTGGATGCTTTAGGGCAAATTTCAGAAACCGTAGATGAGCTAGCCCCGGGAGCACAAAGGGCAGATTGCAAGGGAGTGAAAGCAGCATGGTCTGGGCAAAGAGTCACAGCTGAGGAAGTTCTACCTACAGTCTTCCCTAAAAAGTCTCACCTTCCTTGGTGTACCCTCATTGTTTCTAGATTCTGAACTGAATTTACACCATGTCCATCAGCACGTATGACATCTAACAATATGCTTAGAAGATTCTTTTGAGAAACTATACACAACTTTGGAAAACAGTTTAAAAATAGACCTTTCCTCAAAGCACTTCATCCGTTTTATGAGAGCTTTCTGTGGGTTATCTTAGTGTAGAAACTATTAGTGAGAACCTGGTAAAACAATAGAGCTTGAGTATTTTTGTACGTTAGTGTTGCTAAAGGCCTAGTGTTTTTCATCCTTTGGTGTAGTGTAATTTTTTAAAAGTTTTATTTTCTTATTTTTAATGACTTTTTGAGATATAATTGACAGCAAAAAATTCACTAGTTTTACAGTTAAATTTACAAAACTGTGCAGGTATTGCCTCAGTCTAATTTTAGAACATTTTCATCACCCCAAAAAGAAACCTCTTGCCATTGCCATTAGCAGTCACTCCCAATTCTTCTCCACCCCCAAACGCACACATATACACGCAGCCCTAGTCTAATCATTAATCTGCTTTTTGTTTCTGTAGAGTTGCCTATTCTGGACATTTCCTATCAATGAGATCATATGTGGTCTTTTGTAATTGGCTTCTTTCGCTTAGCATAATATTTCTGAAGCTCATCCATGTTGTAGCATATATCAGTAGTTTATTTGTTTTTACTACTAAATAGTATTCCATTGTATGTGTTTGTGGCTGTCCTTCGGAGGGTGGAAGCAACCCCTCAACCCAAATTTTGGTTCAGGTGTAAAGACACGCCAAGGAAGTAGGAAATGATTTACTACTCACCTCATGGGACTTTCTGGGCAGAGCAAGGGAGTACCCAAAGTAGTTGGAAAATGGCTTGAGCAGCTTCAAAGAGAGTAGGAGTAAGAGACCCTGGTTTCAGTTGTGGGTAGGGGGTGGGACCTGGAAGAGTTCCTCAGTAAGCATCCTGGGCCTTGTGTCGTTTGGGCTTCCAACCAGTGGCAAGGAAGGGAACTCATGGAATTTCTTACCAGTTTGTCTAAATATGGGACCGACTGGGAAGGGAGATGTGGGGTTAGAAAGCTGTCAGTGTCAAACATCAAAAATGGAGTTAGGCTTTTTATTATAATTTGCCTCTGATGTTTGACTGAAATGTGCAATGTTTTATTTAATTGATTTTGAAGTTAAGTAAGCTGTTATCACATTCTGTGAGGCCTGCAGCTTGAAGCCAGTAACAGAGATGCAGGTTCTATTGAATGCCTTGTTCAGGAACTCAGTGTTGTGCATTTTAAGAAGTGAAAGGAATGCTTTGGTTACTATCAATAATGTCTAGAACTTCAAGGAGGATAAAAAGTGTCTCGGTGAGGTCTTGTATTTGTGGCTTTAGTATGTGCAGAGATATGTGTGACAAAGAATATTCTCTGACCACAAAAGAATTAGAAATCAGTAACAGAAGAAATTTGGGAAATTCGCAAATCTGTGCTTAGAGGGAAACTTATGGCTCTTGTTATAAGTCTGCTCAGATTTTCTATTTCTTCTTGAGTCATTATCAGTAATTTGTGCCTTTCTAGGATTTTGTGCATTTCATCTGAGTTATCTAATTTGTTGGCATACTGTTCATATATTCCCTCATAATAATTTTAATTTCTGTAATATCAGTAGTGATATCTTCTCTTTGATTCCTGCTTTTGATAATTTGTTTTTTCTCTCCTTTTTTATGGTCACTCTAGCTAAAAGTTTATTCTGTTGATGGTTTCAAAGAACCAACTTTTGGTTTTATTAATTTTCTCTTTTTCTATTTCAGTTGTTTCTGTTCTTTATTATTTTACTTCCTTTTTCTTGTTTTGGATTTAATTTATTCTTTTTTCCAGTTTCCTAAGTGATTAGGTTTTTGATTTGAGATTGTTCTTTTTAATGTAGATGTTTAGAGCCATAACTTTCCCTCTAAGTACATATTTGTGAATTTCCCAAATTCTTTCTGTTACTGATTTCAAATTCTTTTGTGGTCAGAGAACATTCTTTGTGTGATTTAAATCCTTAAAATTTATTGAGACTTGTTTTATGGCCTAGCATGTGATCTATTCTGGAGAGTGTTCCCTGTGCACTTGAGAAATATGTGTATTCTGCTGTTGTTGGGAGCGTTGTTCTAAAGGTGTCTTAGGTCTAGCTAATTTATAGTGTTTAAGTTTTCTATACAACTGTTAATTTTCTGCCTAGTTATTCTATCAAATATTGAGACTTGGATATTGGAGTTTCCAACTCTTATTGTTGAGTTGTCTCTTTCTCCCTTCAATTCTATCAGTTAGCTTCATGTATTTTGGGGCTTTTTTGTCAAGTGTATATATTTAAAACATTGTTATTTCTGTCTGATGGATTGGTAATTAAAATATTCTTTGTAAAAAAAAGTAACACTTTTTGTCTTAGAGTCTATTTTGTCTGATATTAGTATAACCACTCCAGCTCTGTTACGATTGCACTTGCCTGGTATATATTTTTCCATCCTTTTACTTTCAGCCTGTTTGTACCTTTGAATCTGAATTGTGTCTCTTGTAGACAACATATAGTCGAGGCTTGTTTTTTAATCCCATCTGACAATCTGCCCATTGATTGGAATGTTTAATCCATTCACATTTTAATGTTATTGTTTACTTGATTAGGTATATGTCTGCCATTTAGCTATTTTTTCCTTATATGTCTCATCTTGTTTGTTCTTTTGTTTCTCCTTTACTGCCTTTTTTTCATATTAAGTGGATATTTTTTACTGTACCGTTTTCCTTTAATGAATTTTTAAATAAATTATTTTAGAACAGTGTCTAGATTTACAGAATTATTGTGAATATAATGAAGAGATTCCTGTATACCCCGCCTTAATTTCCTCTATTTTTAACATCTTACATTAGTATGGTACATTTGTCCAAATTTACAAACCAATATTGATACGTTATTATTAACTAAAGTCCATATTTTTTTCATATTTCCTCAGTTTTTCCATAATGCTCTTTTTCTGTTCTAGGATCCTTTCTAGAATACTGCATTACATTAGTAGTCATGTCTCCTTCGGCTCCTCTTGGCTATGGTCATGTTCAAAACTCATCACTTCCTAATTAATTTCCTTTGTTTTACTCATATCTGTGCTCTTGAGGCTGTTTATTGATCTACTTTGTCAGTATGGTGGAAATACTATATAGTGGTGTGCTGTTGCACATCTCTTCCCAACTGTTGAGTGACATCTTGTTGGTAGTTTGAAATTGGCTGTGATAAGAATATTTGTGCCTCAGAAATTGGTAACTACAAGTCAGGGCTTTTTTTTTTTTTTTTTTGAGAGCCTGTTATTAAATATTTTACTCTATTGGTGCTACCTCTATTCGGCCATTCTGTCTCTTTTTAGGCACCAGCAGGACGTTGTCCCACAGGAAGGCATTTTACCCACTGGTGTGCAGAGATTTTGTAGGCTGGTAAATCCAGGAGCTGTAGGGGAGGCCAGATCTCTTATGGCTCATTTCTCTTTCCTTGTTTCTCAGTTCTATCTTCACAGGTCTCTATACTTTTTTAAGAACAGCAGAAAATGAACCAATCCCAGGTGAGTTTTTTTTTTTCCCCTTACTTTATTTTACATTGGATTTTATGAGATGCATAAGGTATAACCATTAATATGTAAATATAGAAATTAGTAAATGTCAAGTTTGGGGGAAATGTGGAGAAGCAGATTAGTAGCAGGGCAGAGGTGGTATGTCAATGACCTTCAAGTCCCTAATGTTAAAGTTATCAGTGCCGAGCTGTACGTTTGTGTCTGATAGCAATAGCAGACATTGTTATAGCAATTGCATTGAAAATAAGAATAAGCCAAACTGATTCTTCGTGGGACATAAAGACTTTCCTGACATTAAAGTCTGAGAACAACTTTTTTGTTTATTGGTCATCAAAATGGTCTTGTAATACAAAATATTGTATTAGAACAATATTCTAATAACAACCTTGAAGCAAGTGAAGGCTGTTGCCTCTAATGGAAGAGGGCATGGTAGAAACAGAGGGCATATTGTCAAAGCATAACTGGTACAGATTATCAAGGGACCATAATACCAGAGTCTGAATAGAGAGCTGTTCTATGGTCCAGCTTAAATCTGAGATAAAACCTACTGTCTTGAGGAGTGATGAATGGGCAGTAAAAAATAATTTACTGTAACTCTTCATAAGAAATTTTTTGGTTTTTGTTTAGGTTGTCATATGCTGATTTTTCAGCAGAAAGTTCAAATTATATTCTCTGGAAAATATTCTGCACATCATGTTTCCATTGTAACTTGCATGCAATTTTGGTTCTTTCCCATCATCTGCCTGAGTTTGTTCTGGTGAAGGTCACCAGTAAATGTGATCTTATTGATTGGCAATATTTCTTCTTTTCCAACAAAGCATTTAATATTTTAAATTTCCATCTAAGCACTGCTTTAGCTGCATCCCACAAATTTTGGTTTTATTTTCATTTTCATTCTATGTAAAGTATCTTCCATTCTCCTTGAAACTTCTGTTCAACCCGTCGGTTATATAGAAGTGTGTTGTTTAATTTCCAAGTAGTTGGAGATTTCCCGAGATCTTTCTGTTACTGATTTCTCGTTTGGCCAGGAAACATAACGTATATGATTTCTTTTCTTGTAAATTTGTTGAGATTTGTTTTATGGGCTATTTTAGTGACTATCCCATGTGCATTTTAAAAGAAAGTTTATTCTACAGGTGTAGGGTGGCATGTTCTGTAAATGTCACTTAGGTTTAGTTCAATGATAGTGTTGTTTGGGTCTTCTATATTCTTTCCAATTTTCTTTTTACTTCTATCAATTAGTGAAAGAAATATTGTAGTCTCCAACTATTATTTCTTGTCTATTTTTCCTTTCAGTCCTGTCAGTTTTTACCTTATATATTTTGAAGCTCTTTTGTTACGTGCATACACATTTAGTTTTGTCCTGGAGAGCTGACCCTTTATCATTACGTAATGTGCCTCTTTATTTTTGATAATATCCCATGTTATGTATTTTATTTTGTCTGATATTAATGTAGCTGCTCCAGCTCTATTTGGATTATTGTTTGTATGGTATTTCTTTCTTTATCCTTTTACCTTAAATTTATTATATGTTTTTATAGTTAAAGTGAGTGTCTTATGGACAGTATATAGTTGGTCCTGTTTTTTTACCCAATCTGGCTGTCTCTGCCTTTATTCAATTTAATTTGATTATCGATATGGTGGATTAAAATCTTCTATTTTGCTAGCTATTTTCTATTCTGTTCTTTGTTTCTTTTTGTCTTTTTCTTCTCTTGGATTAGTTGAGTATTTTTTGTTATTCCATTTTATCTTTGCTATTGACACTTATTATTTATACTTCTTTTAGCTTTTTAAAATAGTTGCCCTGTGGTTTATAATACACATTTTTAATTAATCACAGTCTCCCTTCAAATATTAAACCATATATATATGTATATACAATATATATAGTATAATGCCCTTACAGAAGTATATTCCCAATTCTTCCCTCCTGTCCTTTGTGCTATTTTTGCACCATACATTTTCCTTTAACGTATACGATGTTCACACGGTACAGTACGACTGTTTTTGCTTTAGACCATCAGTTATCCTTTAGAGCAAGCAGCAGCGACCTGCAGCCCATGGGTGAAATTCAGCTCTCTACCTGTTTTTGTAAATAAAGTTTCTTGGGAACACAGCTACAGGTATTCTTCTATGTATTGGCTGTGGCTACTTTCGCGCTACAATGGTAGAGTTGAGGAATTGCAGTATTTACTGTATGACCCACAAAGCCTAAAATATTTACTGTCTAACTCTTTACAGAAAAAGTTTTCCAGCCTTTACTTTAGAACAATTAAAAATTGGGACAAGGAGGAGTTAATTTAATTTTTCCCTTTTTTATTCCATTTCTATCACTCTTCATTTTTTTGTGTAGATGCAAGTGTCACTCTGATATCATATTCCTTTAGCATTTCTTGTAGAGTAGTTCTGCTGGTGAAGAATTCCTTAAATTTTTGTTTTTCTGGGAAAGTATTACTTCTTCATTTTTGAAGATATTTTTGCTAACTATAGAATTCTTGGTTGACAGTTATTTTTCTGTCAGCCCTTTAGGGATGTCACTCCATTGTGTTCTGGTTTGCATCGTTTCTGGTGAAAAGTTTGCTTTAATTGTTATCTTGATTCCTCTTTTGTAATGTTTCTTCGTTCATTGGCTGCCTTCAAGATTTTCTCTCTCTCTCTCTCTTTTTTTTTTTTTTAGCAGTTTTAATATGTGCCTAATTGTGCTTTTGGAGGAAGTTTATGCTGCTTGGTATTCTTGAGCTTCTTGGATCTTTGGTTTGTTTGGTGTCGTTAACAAACAATGGGAGAAATTTTAAGCCACTCTTTCTTTCTTTCTTTCTTTTTTTTTGGTGAGGAAGATTGGCCCTGAGCTAACATCTGTTGCCAATCCTCCTCTTTTTGCTTGAGGAAGATTGTTGCTGAGCTAACATCTGTGCCAATATTCCTCTATTTTTGGATGTGGGATGCTGCCATGGCATGGCTTGATGAGCGGTGTGTAGGTCCCTGCCCAGTATCTGAACCTGCAAACCCTGGGCCGCCGAAGCAGAGTGCGTGAACTTAACCACTATGCCACCGGGCCAGCCCCCTTAAGCCACTATTTCTTAAAATGTTTCATCTGTCCTATTTTTTCTTTTTTTCCCTGGGTCCCAATTATGCATATGTCAGAACATTTGATTGTATTTCACGGATTTTCAATTTTCAAGAATTTTCAATTCTTTTCTCTCTCTTTTTTTTTTTTCACGTTTTCTTCTCTTTGAGTTTCAGTTTGGGTAATTTCTGTTGACCCCCCCCTTGTTCATTGATTCTTTCTTTTACTGTGTTGACTGCTGATGAGTCTGTTGAAGACATTCTTCATCTCTGTTACTATGTTGCTGTTTCTAGCATTTCCATTTGGTTCTCTCTGCTGAAATCACCCATCTATTTTGCATATTGTCCATGTTTTCTGTTAGAGTTTTTAACATATTTGTTATAATTATTTAAAATTCTCTTAGTTTCAATGCCTATGTCATATCTGAATCTGGTTCTGATGATTACTTTGTGTCTTAGTAGTATCTTGTTAGTTTCTTTCCTTTTCATATGCCTGATAATTTTTGGTTGAATCCACATATTTTTTGTTAACCTCTAGACTGAGGTAAATAGATTTTATTCCTGGAAATGGGCGTGGCTTTCCTGCTAGGCTTTTATGCCAGGAGTTTGAGTTAATCTAGTAAGGAGTTGGGCGAGATTGGAGACTTGTTGTTTCTGTCATTACCCTCGTGCACCACAGGCTTCAAATTTCTGTGGAGACACCTTATGTTTTAGGATAGGGGTTAGTTTACCAGAGTTGTGTCTGTTAATTTCTGGGTTTTTAGGTTTTCTCTTTGATCTGTGCCTCAGAGAGAGTTTCTTTGCATGCTCTTATTTATCTCCTGTCCCTCTGTCAGCAATATTCTATTGGTGTTTGTTATTCTAAGCTTGTTAGCTTGGCAGTGGGAAGTGGTGGGCAGAGTGTGTTCCCTCTTGTTCCAATACAGCCTCAGTCTTGGGTGTGCTCTGGGTCCCTGGGTCCCGGGGATGTGGCCTTCTTTGTTCTCTTGCCCCTTCCCCAGCTGTAGTTGTAGGCTGAGTGCATAAACCTGCGCTTCCTCCAGGAATAGAGCAGCAAGTGCCCAGTGGTGTTCATGGAGAAAAAGCCTGTAAGAAGGTGCAAGCCCCCTCAATGTCTGTGGCCCACAGGGGTTTCACACTGTTGTACCAGCCCACACTCAGTCTTCATCAATTAATATGCCACCCCTTCTGGTCGTCATCTTCTTGCCTGAGGTCCAGCCTGGGTTGGACAAGAACGTACATTTCCTCTCTTCTTACAGGTGCAGTCTCTTCCTAGATTTGGGCCACTGGGGTGCTTTGCAACCTTGGCTCTCCAAAAAGTTAGAAAAAAAGTTGTGGATTTGAAGTTAGTCTAGGCTTGTTTTCATTGTAGGAAGAATGATTCTCCTTCTTGCTTTCTGCATCCTGGGGCAGAAGCTGAAGTCAACCCATGTGTTTTAATGCCTCCAATATTTTGTTTGTGCTATGTTGCCTCATAATCATAAAGAACATAGATCCATCATGTTTAAGGCCTTAAAAGCTTTTCCTTTCCAGTTAAGCACAAGCTGTTGACACAAAATAGAGTTATTTTTTCTTTTCTTTCCTGATCCCAGTATACTTTTTACATTTTCTAATATATTCTAGTAACACCTTGTTTTCAGAGTTGTGTTTGTGTAGTATTTAATCTTCCGGAGAACAAGAACAGTGTTTTATTCTTCTTAGTATCCACGACAGCCAGGACATTTCAAGGCATAGAGCATTAATAATTTAAAACAAAAGCAGGATGTCCTTTTATTATTTTTCTTTCTTCTACAAAATCTAATACAAAACAGTGTACATAGTAGGCATATTATAACCTATAAACTCTGAACAGTGAACCTGGTAAGAATTAGTTTCCATACATCTTTTCTGTGCTGTCCCCATTCCAACCACTTCAGACTGAGCACAAATGTGCTGTTCCAGGGGTCAATGTCATTTGGAGATGTGGCTGTGGGCTTCTCCTGGGAGGAATGGCGGCACCTAAACCCTGCTCAGAGGACCCTATACAGAGATGTGATGCTGGAGAACTACCACAACCTTGTCTCAGTGGGTAAGCAAAGTCTCCACATCAAACTGAAAATAGCATGCATTTTATTTCTTAGAAACCAAAACTTGTGGTCTTTTGTGGTTAATATTGTTGAGGCTTTTGATTCAGGAGTCTGAGATTGTTAATCTCTTTTGAGCACCAGGAAGAATGGTTGTATTCTCACATCCCATGAAAGCTTTAAATGAACCTCATCAAGGTGCATCTCCAGAACCTCTACCTTCTAACTACTTTAGAGTTGCTGTAGCCCATGCAACCTGGCCCAAATTCTGTGTCGTCTTTCCTTCTACAGGTTATTTCATTACCAAGCCAGAGGTGATCTTCAAGTTGGAACAAGGAGAGGAGCCATGGGTATTAGAGGAAGAGTTTCTATACTGGAACTACCCAGGTGAGTTAGTGAGGACCAGGCAAGAGGAAGCCAGGGAACTTATGTTCTAGGTGGTTAGTTTAGGAGTTGGACATTTAAACTGTTTTGCTAAGAATCTCTTCTTAGTGGCATTACTTTGGAAGTATAAAAGGATATGTGTATGATAAAATTGGAAGAGGAAAGGGTAATACCTGAGAAGGAACGTAAGCTGATTTTCTGATTGTTGAAAACTGGGGTGGGCGGTGGTCCAAGGATATCATTTATGCAGGCAAAGTCAAGTAATACAGGCATTTATATGTTTAATAGCACAAAGGTAAAAACTAAGGAAGGTAATAAAATCTACTAAAAGTTGGTTCATGAGGAAGAGAGGAGAAGAAACACTAATTTCACTGTTACATGTAGTAGAGTATTACTTGATGCTATCTAAACAATTAGGTAATTCATTAATGGAATTACAAGTTCATACTTATAAGATTAATTACTATAACAAAATTATAGCCTTCCTAGTTTTACAAGATTGTATTTTGGTTTGTACCTAAAAACAATGAACAAAACCTTTAATGTGCCTAAAGAACATTTGCAAACAAGGGAAAGTATATCATGCTAAAAGGAAACCCTCAATAAATCCTACAAAGTTGAAATATGACGTTTCCTAGTCACAGTCTGATAAAACCAGAAGTTGGTAATAAATTTTTCAAATGTACAAGTCAATTCTTTTATTTTTTCTTTTGTATTCTTGAGTATTTTTTTCTTTGTAAACTTCTAATATTTCTCATATTCTCACTTTCCACTGACATCAGTAAGAACCATATTCTCTCATACTTTAATTTTTTTCCAATTCCTAATTGTAGTTAGTGAGGTTTTTTTGTTGTTAGTAGTGGTGGTTGTGTTTTTGTTTTTTGTTTTCCCTAGAACATCTCTTTTTTCAGTAGCCTGACAAGATAAGTCTGTACTCCCCCTATTTATTTCATGAAATTTAAATTACTTGCTTTTCATTGACTACCACATTATGGCCTGATTTGGCTGCCCCAGTTTTATTTTTCTGTTGCCCATACTCATGCTAAATATCATTTGATCTACTTTCCTCAGATGTCACTTAGGCATATCGTATTCTTTCCTGTGTCACACCTTTCTTCATTATGTGCTTTCCCTGACTATCAGATACTAAGTGGATTAATAAACAAAAAAATGCTTTGAACGTTGTCTAGTATATAATAAAAGATTGATTCTACCGTTACTGTATTGCATATCTTTAAAGTGTAGGTTAAGTTTGTTCTCTTCCAAGAAACAGCCCTTGAATGTTTGAGCCAAGTAATCTCTTCTTTCTCTCAACACTCAGCATGTAGTGGGTCTTTCATAAGAAACTAAACCAAAGTCATATAATCTGTTACCTAGTAGTATCTAGCTTTTTTCATACCTGATTTATGATCTAACAAAGAAAATGGCCACTGTGTTACTCTTTCTTACTGTGGTGTATAACGTGAAATAGACGTTTGATAAACACATGTTGATTGGAGTCAGATAGAGGAAAAACTTCATATTCTGAAAACATTACAAGGGAGCACTTTCTGAAAACATGCTCAGGTCATGAACCTATAATTCTGATTCATCAGGTATAAAATGACATAGTGTCTAAATATTTGTGTTTGAGAAAGCTCTTCAGATAATGCTGATAGACACAGCTTGTTGAGGTCTGTTGATTTAAAATCACTCAAATTCAAAGGAAATCAGAGGGTTAACACCTGCTATGAGCATTGGTTTTAGTTAGATCAGAGATTGGTGAAGTATGGCCTGCAGACCTACCACATGTTTTTGTGAATAAAATTTCTTTGCAACACAACCACGCTCATTTGTTTACATATGGGTTTTGGCTGATTTCATGCTCTGATAGCAGAGTTCAATATTTTGACAAGATATGGCCTGAAAAACCTAAAATATATACTGTTTCACTCTTTAAGGAAAAGATTGCCATCCCCTGGATTGAAGAATGAGAATAAAATTGCATGAAGCATTTTAAATTAAGCATTTAATTAAGAAAAATGTGTCGTATTCTCTCAAATCTAAGAAGCCATAGTTTGTAACTGGACCATTATTAGATGAACCACTAAGGAAAAAATATTCTGCCCATTATACTGTGACCTGCTGATCACAGGTCTGTGATCAATTATAAGATAGAGCCTGATTTTAGAATGTTAAATATATGTATCTTTTTTTTTTTGTGGAAGATTGGCCCTGAGCTAACATCTGTTGTCAATCTTCCCTTTTTTTTTCTTTTTTCTCCCCAAAGCCCCAGAACACAGTTGTATATCCTAGTTGTGGGTCCTTGTAGTTCTTACATGTGGGCTGCTGCCCCAGCATGGCTTGGTGAGCGGTGAGTAGGTCCTCGCCTAGGATCCAAACCCGTGAACCCCAGGCTACTGAAGGGGAATGCGCAAACTTAACCATTACACCACCAGGCCAGCCCCAAATATATGTATCTTACAGTAAGTAGATGAAATACCATATGTTACAAAGTAGTGCTATCTAAGGTTATGTTAAAACAACTGGTCTAGACAGGAACTACTTTTAGATTTAGAGTAAATATAACTTTTGAAAGTAGGAAGATGTGAAATGGCATTCTTGAAGACTTGGAATACTAGTATCAGTATGTCATTTTTCTAGATATTAAATAGGTCCAAGGCTGGAATGTGAGCTGAGTGAGAGAACACACTTTCAGCTTGTTGTTATGAATGAGCAATTTAGTGAGACAAAGAGCTGACTAGACTGGTACAGAGGATATTGATTGTGGGATTGTAGAATGGTAGCTTGAAAATCTGATGTGCATTTAGTTAGTGTAAATTTTTTTGCTGGAATGATGACTTGTAACAGTTTTCCATGTGGTACTTGGCTCACCTCAGTAGTTTTTTAGCTTGGGATAGACTTTGTTGCACTAAGTAACAAATGTGGACAAGACTTTTTAAATGATAAATAAACATACATGTTACTCACTTTCTGAGATTGGGTTGAAAAATATGATCCTTAAATTCTAATAGTAAATAGAAACCTGAAATGTGGAAATATGAGATGTGAAATGTAAAGCAAAGTTAAGTATTGGTATTCTGGCAGGGGCAAGGCTGTTTAAGGGAAAAGCAAGTGAAAGTAAATGTGATTATCACAGCAAGTTCACCTGTTGAACAACTATGATGGAGCAACATTAAGGTATCACAACCAAGATAGAGCAATACATCAGATCTAGCTTGCCATGGGATCATTTATTCTGCCATTGTTTTGTACTTTATTTTGGATGTTGATATTCCTGTGAATCATAGCTGGGAGGGAATTAAGAGTGCGTGCTAATGACTCTTCCTTTAAACCTAAGGCAATTGGTGCATTCAGATATTTACTTTGCTGTTAATGCCTAGAATGGAAATAAAGGAAATTCAGCTGGAAGCAGGATGTTACTAAAACAATATAGGTTTGAAGATATTAGACTACTCTGTAATCTGTCACCTTGATGTCTCATATTTCCCCCATGAACACCTTTTTCCGCTGGTTTTCTTTGTCACTCCAATTACTCTTCATTAGCTCAAGTGAACCCATCCCATTCTCTGTGATTTTCGTCCTACCTGAATCTACCACTCCAGTAAAATCTTCCATCCTTTCTCTATTGTTTCTTGAGTTTATCTTCATTGCTATCCATTTTTAAAGTTTTATTTGTAAAATGCTGAATAATTACATGTCTGCTTATTAATAGTTTTTCCTCCCTTTTTTCCACATTTGTTTTCCTGAACAAACTAGATGGGGAAAAGGCACTTTGACCCTGAGAGACTACTGAAACAAAGTCAAATATATATATTATACAAAAGTCAAATATATAATAGGACACTTATATTGTAGTCCAATTCTATTAGAAATGTGTTAAAATTCTTATGGTATGTTCAATATTTTTATTTCTAGAAGACTGCAAAGCTCTTGACCTAACAGAGAGAATCCAGGAAAACCAAGACAAATATTTGCCACAAGTTGCATTCAACGAAAAAACACTGACTTCAGAGAAAGATAATGCTTTAGGAAAATCGTCTAATATGATCACAAACTTTGTTCCTTCAAGAAAAATGCCCTACAAAAATGACTTACATGGAATGAGTTTGAAAAATATTTCATTATCAATTGGTAGTAATAGAAACTCCTCAAGAAAGAAGCCTGACATGTTAAATGTATATGAGAAATTACTTGATACTAAGCAGGAAAAAGCTCCTACTCGAGAGAATTCTTACAAAAATAATCAAAATGACAAAGCTCATGGTCATAATAGTGGTATTATTCAGCACCTAAATATTCAAACTTCAGAGAAGACTTTTAAATATAATAATGGTGGAAAAGGCTTAGACAAAAAGACTATAATAATTTCACACAGGCAAATTCACACAGGAGAGAAATTCTGTGAGTATAATGGACTTGGAGAAACTTGTGAGAAGTCATCTCTCTTGAAATGTAATGGAGTCTACATGGAAATGAAACAGTATGAAAGTAATCAAATTGAAAATAGTTTCAACAGGATGTCACACTTTACTCAACTTGAGAAAAATCAGAGAGGAAAGAGTCTATTCAAATGTAGTGAATGTGGGAAGACATTTATCCAGAAGTCAAACCTCACAGTGCATCAGAGAACCCACACAGGAGAGAAACCCTATGAATGTACTGAATGTGGGAAATCCTTCCAGCAGAAGTCAACCCATATGGTCCATCAGAGAGTTCATACAGGAGAGAAACCCTATGAATGTAATTTATGTGGGAAGTCCTTCAGTCACAAATCAGCCCTCACCGACCATCAGAGAGCACATACAGGAGAGAAACCCTACAAATGTGGTGGATGTGGGAAGTCTTTTTACCGGAAGTCATCCCTCACTCAACATGAGAGAACTCACACAGGGGAAAAACCCCATGAATGTAATGAATGTGGGAAAGGCTTCTGTCAGAAGTCAGCCCTCATTCAACATCTGAGAACTCACACAGGAGAGAAACCCTATGAATGTAATGAATGTGGGAAAGCCTTCTGTCAGAAGTCAGCCCTCAATCAACATCAGAGAACTCACACAGGAGAGAAACCCTTTCAGTGTGATGAATGTGGAAAGTTTTTTCATATGAAGTCAGCACTTACTAAACATCAGAGAACTCACACAGGGGAAAAACCTTATGAATGTAATGAATGTGGGAAGAATTTCTGTCAGAAATCTACCCTCACTAATCATCTGAGAACTCACACAGGAGAGAAACCTTATAAATGTAGTGAATGTGGGAAAACTTTCTGCCAGGGATCAACCCTTACTAATCATCAGGGAATTCACATAAGGCAGAAACCCTGTGTGACAGAAACTCACTGTGTTTTTGCTAATACCCTTTTCCTTTTTTTGCTTGGTACACAACTAGTCAAGATTTTCTAGCCTTCCTTTCAACCATATGGGGTCATGTGACCAAGCTCTGGCTCAGAATGTGGGCACAAGTGATGTACATTATTTCCAAGCCTGTAAAAGAGCTCATTTGGAACCTTTTGTACTTCCCAGTTTTCTTTCCCTATGAAAGGGCAGTGGACATCATCCTCAGGAAGGCTTGGGAGCTAGTCATTAGAATTTACAGAGTCACAGGTTGGGAGAAAGCAGGGTCTCTGAATGACTTCCTGAGCAGAGTCCTTTCTTCTCTACCATCACCCTTATGTCTTTTCATGAACAAGAAATAAACTTGTATTGAGACATTACATATTCAGGTCTATTTGTTGCCATGGCATATCCCAGCCATCCCTTTATCTCTTATACTCTGTGAGTCTAATGAAGGTGTGAGAAACATTGTATGTCAGAGAATTCAGTAGGGGAGGAAACTTGTCAGTATCCTGAATTTTAATAAACCTTCATCAACAAGTCAAACATTTTGTGAATCAGAAATTTACAATGGAAAAACCCAAAAATGAAATTTAGAAAAACTTTCACAAAGAAGCAAATCTTACTGAACATCAGATAACTGATAGTAGAATAAAACCTTATAATCTTGAAAAACATTTCAAAATTTATATATCAGAGAATATGTAATGAAAGAAAATTGTCAGTTTAGGAAGTGTGGGGAAAAATCTTCATCTAGAAATAATCTTATTCTAGAAGCAATGTTTGGGATGCAGTACCAAATATTTTATTAATAATATAACAGTATGTTTACTTGTAGTCATACTCACCATGGAATATGTACCTTTAAAAAAGGCACATGTGAATTGGGTCATCAGAGCAGCAGCATTAAATGTATGTGAATAGCCTCTGAGCTATGTTAGGCTTATACGTATGAGCATGCTCTTTAGCAACTGTTTTGTGTATGCTTGATTTTTGTTTTAGACCTCAAAATAGTTACAGTGGGAACAATGCACCTTTACCTAAATAACTTTTGTAACATATATTAGGATTTCCTACACTAAATACTGTTGTCATCTTATCACATATATACACCACAATATATATTTTAGAAGAAACACTGAATATATAAAATACCATATGTCGTATGTGTTATCTGCTCTTTGGTGGTATATATAAATGGGTATGGACGTTGTGACCAAATTGTCTTTTCAGTAAATGGTCCAGACAATGTTTAATAAAATCAAGATTTACTTAAAGTATGCAATGATCTGGCACACATCTGTTTATAACCCACATCTGAGTTAATTTTCAAGAGTGGCCTTGAACGTGAATACTTATTACACTATACAGATTAAAAGCAGTGCTCATTGAAGAAATAATCTCCATTTTGCATTTGTGATATGTCTAAATGATATGCTTATATAAATTTAAATGTGAAGCCCAGATGTTCTATGAGCCAAGAACTATCTGCTTTTGTATTTAGTGTTCTGCCCCTTACTATATGTGCCACCTATGGAGTGATTTAACCTCTCTGTGCCTCAGTTTTCTCATCTGCAAAATGGAGATATTACCTACCTCACAATACTGAACAGTTTGACTTGGAGTTTTCTGTTATTAGTGCTAAAGGCATTTATGTTCAGAACTTGAACATTATCATTCCATTGTATGAAAGAAATTTCTGCTTCTTGAGTTGATAACAGAAGATTCTAGAACTTTGCATTTTGTCAGGTTTATCTTCTGTTTAAAACATATAAACAGATGTGTTTCATATTATTATTTAATTGAATAATCTATTCAGTTAAGTAGAATAATCTATTGACCCCTCTCTGTTGTTGCTTGATTTAATATGGTGTGAGGTAAAGATCCAAATTTGTTTTTTTCCAAATGAATAGCCAATTGATCTTTCACCATTTGATTCATTCACTCCTATTTCACTGATTTGTGTGTGTGTGTGTGTGTGAGGAAGATTGGCCCTGAGCTAACATCTGTGCCAATCCTCCTCCATTTTGCATGTGGGACGCCACCACAGCATGGCTTGATGAGCGGTGTGTAGGTCCGTGCCTGGGATCTGAACCCTCGAACCCTGGGCCGCTGACACGGAGCATGGGAACTTAACCACTATGCCACCAGGCCAGCGCCCCTCCCCCACCATTTCACTGATTTGAAATCCCATTTTTGTTGTCTACAGAGTTTTCCTTTGGAGTGGCTATTGTGTTTGCAGACTCTGCATTCCTGTCCACATTATTCTACTGCTGGTGCATAACCAAACTGGGCCAATCATAGGTCACCACCCTCCTAGTCCCACATTGGATATAATTGATGAGTACTTGACCTAAGTTGAGCCAATGAAATCCTTTTCTAAGACTTTTATAATTGGAGGTGTTTATATTCCAGTTATGTGATGACTCTGGAACAGCTATATCAAGAAAATGCATGTGCAGTTAAGAGCAAATAAATATGTAGAGAAATGCAGAAGAGTAAAGAGAAGCTTGATGGTGAACAGGCTCAAGCAGTGTGCTGGCTGAGAAGACTTTATCCAGCAAAGTTACGCTTCAGACAGGAAGGATAAGTAAAGGCTTTCCCAGATGAAATCTGAGGGAGTTCACCACCCCTAGACCTGCCTTGCAAGGAATACTGGAAGGAATTCTTCAAGTTGAAATGAAAAATGCTAATGAGCAACATGAAATCATATAAAGTATACAACACACTGGTAAAAGTGAAAAATAGACAGACACTTAGAAAACCGTAACTCTATATTAGGATGACGTATTAACCACTCAACTACACTATAAGGCTAAAGGAAAATAGTAGTAAAATTATAGCACTATATATTAAAAAGATTTATAGCTACTGTAAAACTATTGTGTAAATTTTTTTGTGAGAGGGTATGCATCCTAATTTGAAAAGAAGAAGATGCAGTGTGTTAATGTACAGCATTTTATGTGAGCACATAGGCCTGTATTATTTGACATGACATCTGAAGTCCTTAATCAGGTAAGACACATTATAAATAAGGAGACAATGACTTAATGAGAGAATATTTATAAATATGACCATGTAATTTTCCCCATCTCAGTGAATACTTCTGGGTGCCCAAGCCAGGACCCTGGAATTCATCCTCAACTGCTCTTCTCTGTAACCTTCAACAATTAATCACCAATTATTTTTCATTTCAACTCCTAAAATATCTAATGTGTATTTTCTTCCCCATGATCAATAACATTTTGCCCTTGGGTTGACTGCAGCAGCCTCAGTGGTATCCTTCCATCCAATCTTGTTTCCTCTAATCTCTCCACCACAGTAGTCAGAATGAGAGTTTGAAGATCCTCTGTTTACTAAAATCTGTGGTGGCCTCCTGCCTTGAGATCAAGACTGAATCTCTGAACTTGCATGATAAGTTCGCCTTGACTCACTTCTGTTCACTCTCTGCTTTGCTCCACCATGTATAAACTCCAGTCATTCTGAATTTCAGTGGTTCTAGTACCATTTTGTCACCTCACACTTTGTGCCTTATCCTGAACACTATTCTTTTATTAAAACCAGCATAATGCTTTTGAGTTATATCCATGTTCATATGTGTAGCTCTAATTGATTACTTTTAGCTTCTTATGCACCATTTTATTAAAATAACTTATTCTATTGAAAGACACCTTGTTTCTAATTTTTCATTATTATAAACAGTACTTTTACAGACATTTCATATTTATTTCATGCAGACTCTAGAGCTGGATCCTCAACTCACAGTAAGAAAGACAGTGACTCTCTATAAATACAGCCAGACATTTGTTGATTTGACCAATATTTATCAGTCAGTATGTAGAAGACATTGTGCAACAGTGATTAAAACATACATAGTTCTATCCTCACTGAGATTAAATTCTAGTGAAGCATATCAGTCAGGGTCTGTTCAGAAGACAGAAACCACAGCAGTGATTTGAACAGAAACAGTGTTATATTGTTAAATCGGTATACAGTTGTCAACTAGGGAACTGGAAGGGTAAAAAGAGAACACTAAGATATGAAAGGGTAAAAAGCTGGGGTTCCAAAAATCGAGCACTGTTCCCCCTACTCCTTTTAGTTGGTTCTTTCCCAGGCTTTGGGTAGTTACCTCACACAAATGTGCTGTTTATTACCTCTGGAGCTTCCTCTCTGTGCAGCTCTCCTCTCTAGTACTTGGCCCTGCAAACTTGAACTGCTTTGGTGAATGCTCTGTGGTGGTGCCCCTTTACCTGTAAGAAAGTAACTTCATCTGGGTCAAGAGACTACAAATGAAGCACAGGCTGGTATATGTGCTTTGGAATCTTTTTGGATGATCTTATGAAGCATTAGGCCAGCCCTCGTGGTCTAATGGTTAAGGTTCAGCGCTCTCACCACTGTGGCCCAGGATCATTTCCCAGTCAGGGAACCACACCACCCATCTGTCAGTTATCATAGTGTGGCAGCTGCATGTTGCTGTGATGCTGAAAGCTATGCCACTGGTATTTGAAATGCCAGCAGGGTCACCCATGGTGGACAGGTTTCAGCAGAGCTTCCAGACTAAGACAGACAAGGAAGAAGGACCTGGCCACCCACTTTTGAAAAACTGACCATGAAAATCTTATGAATAGGAGTGGAGAAGTGTCTGTCTGATATAGTGCCAGAAGGTGAGAGGATGGTGCAAAGAAGACCAGGCAGGGTCCCACTCTGCTGTGCATGGGGTTGCTAGGAGTTGGAATCGACTGTTGGCACTAACAACAAATGAAGCATTGTGGTTTTAACATTTTATATCTTTCTAATTAAAAACCACTTTGGAATAGAATTTCGATGTTAACATGATACATTGAAGGTGAACCCCCCACCATTCTTCAAATAATTATTAATTTAGAGGAAGATACTTTGTGCAATATATATGAAATGAAAAAATAAACAGCATACTAAGGCAAAAATACTTTACAATGCTCACAGATAAATGTTCTTGGAGAATGCATCCATTCATCTTTACATATATTCCTATTGTGGTAGGCAGAATAGTGGCCCCCTAAAGATGTGCATGTCTGTTTTGTTATGTTTTGAGAGGTTCAGTGGATTCGATCGGAAACATAAAAAAGAAACTTTCCAATCCAAATGAATGGACTGAATGTATATTTTATTATGTAGAGGAGTAAAGGCTAGAGTAAAGGCTATAGTCTGCAAACAGATCTGGATAGGTCAAATAACAAG